ACCTCGGGTGACACCGATGTAGAGCTGAGACCTGCCGTTGGCTGGGCAGCATCCCATCTCCAGCTCATTTCCCCCAGTACTGACCTCAGAGAACCTTCATTCCAGTGTAGAGACCAGCAGAATAACATGTGCACATTCCTGTCCCGTCTTAGAGCCGTGATCAGAGGATGCCTCCATCAAGGTCAGAGAGACCCCTGTGTGAGAGTCCACTCCCCACTTACAAAAATAGCTTTGTGGAGATATAATGGACATACAATAAGCTGTACATATACTAACTGTACCATTGGACAAGTTTTGATGCACCTGTGAAACCATCACCACAATGAACCATCACCATGCAATGAACATACTCCTCAAGACAAAGCAGGGAGAGCCGGCTTTACGTTGCTGTTTCACAATTACTTAATATTCCATGCCAGGCATTGTCCTGGGGAGAAGGAAACCCAGACTCACCGTGTGCCACCTCCTTCCCGGGGGAAGTAGATTCAGGGTGCTGCTGGGATGGGAAGGAGGCATACCTCTCCTGCAGAGGGCTGTGGGAGAAGATTGGGAAAAGCTGGTCACAGGAGATGATGGTTTAGCTGATCAAGACAGCTGGGTGATTAGGAGACAGTTGAAGGAAAGGGCTTTTTTTTTTTTAAGTTTTTATTTATTTATTTGAGAGAGAGGGAGAGAGAGTGAGCACAAGCAGGGGGAGTGGCAGGCAGAGGGAGAAGCAGACTCCCTGCTGAGACGCGTAACTGACTGAGCCACCCAGGTGCACCTCCCCCTCAACCGAGTTTTTTAAAATAAGATTTTAGGGACGCCTGGGTGGCTCAGTTGGTTAAGCTGCTGCCTTTGGCTCAGGTCATGATCCCAGGGTCCTGGGATCGAGTCCCACATTGGGCTCCTTGCTTAGCAGGGAGTCTGCTTCTCTCTCTGCTTCTGCCTGCTTGTGTGCGCACGCTCTCTGACAAATAACTAAAATCTTAAAAAAAAAAAAAAAAGATTTTAAGGAAAGGGCTTTCCCAGTGCAGGGAACAGCATGAATGGAGAAATGGAGTTATGAAGAGGAGGTGTGTTTGCAGGACAGCAGGTTCTGGTGGCGTGGGGAGATTCAGCAAAGCTGGAGCAGTTGGTGGTGGCAGCCCGGTCACCAGGAGACATGAGCCACAAGAGTCTGCCTCAGTTCTGTGAGCTTTGTTCTCTCGGTGGAGAAGCCCTGAAAGCCTCAAGCAAGGAAGCATCGTGACCAAATTCTCATCTTAGAAAGTTTGCTCTGACAGCCCTCCAAGGCTGGCGGACAGTAAGTGTGGAAAACTTCGAGAAGTTCCCAATGAGCAGAAACAAATGAATTGTGGGTCATATTATGTAAGACTCAAAAGCAACTTTGAATGTGAACGTCATTTCATGAACATTACACATGTATTTAGAGAATTCCTTCTATTTAAACAATAGCAACGAGAGTCTGTGAAAAATGGGGGATACTCTGGTCATGAAGTCAGAATTCATATGGCCCGGGACATTTGCAAAGTGATGGAAACTGGCATGCCGAGGTCCAGTACGCCACAAGGAAGGGGGGACTCTTTAGAAGAGAGGTTCAAACAGCCTACTTCTAACAATGAATCCAGAATGATCTTCAAAAATGTAGGGGTACCTGGGTGGTTCAGCCGGTTAACTGTCCACCTTCAGCTCAGGTCATGATCCCCAAGTCTACTTTTTCCATTCCCTTCCTCCTATGTTCACACACTCTCTCTCAAGGTTTGTGTGGGTTAAAGTCTCTGCCTTCGGCTCAGGTCATGATCTCAGAGTCCTGGGATCCGGCCCTGCGTCAGGCTCTCTGCTCGGTGGGGAGCCTGCTTCCCTTCCTCTCTCTCTCTGCCTGCCTCTCTGCCTACTTGTGATCTCTGTCTGTCAGATAAATAAAATCTTGGGGGAAAAAATCATCCTTAAATGTAGAGGTAACATGCAGGTCAGGAATAAAGTCTGTGATGGCATGTTACAAGGTTAGCCAATCTGGGACTTCTGGGTGGCTCGGTCAGTTAAGTCTGCCTTTGGTTCAGGTCATGTCCTGGGATTTAGCCCTGTCAGGCTCCCTGCTCAGTGGGGAGCCTGTTTCTCCCTCTCCTCCCAGTTCATGCTTTCTCTGTCTTTCTCAAATAAATAAATAAAATATATTTTTAAAAAAGGTCAACCAGGGGCGCCTGGGTGGCTCAGTGGGTTAAGCCTCTGCCTTCGGCTCAGGTCATGATCCCAGGGTCCTGGGATTGAGCCCCACATCGGGCTTTCTGCTCTGCAGGGAGCCTGTTTCCTCCTCTCTCTCTCTCTCTGCCTGCCTCTCTGCCTACTTGTGATGTCTGTCAAATAAATAAATAAATAAAATAAAAAATAAAAATAAATAAAAATAAAAAAGGTCAACCATTTTGGGGCACCTGGGTGGCTGGTGTAGGTTAAAGCCTCTGTCTTCAGCTCAGGTCATGATCCCAGGGTCCTGGGATCGAGCCCCTCATCGGGCTCTCTGCTCAGCAGGGAGCCTGCTTCCTCCTTTCTCTCTGCCTGCTTCTCTGTGATCTCCTTCTGTCAAATAAATAAATAAAATCTTAAAAAAAAAAAGGTCAACCATTTTAAGTTACATCTACATTACTTCTGTTGCTATGACCTGATGAATATCTAATATCTTTATAGGTATTAAGAGCTCCTAAGGGTGTTTCTTTAATCCCATTTACCCCCTAGCCTTGTGAACACAAGAGTAAACCCAAGTGGTGTCGGTGAGGATGCTTTCAGCTCCACACAGTGGACCAACAGTAAACTCCAGATACTTCAGGCATGGTCTGATCAGGGCTCCTGCCCCATTTTTCCATGGTTCTCTTAGCTCTGCTAAGAGAATGTCAGCTCAGCGAAACTGAAGCAGTCCAAGGCCTCATATCCTTAAGCCCACTTTGTCAAGAGAACAAAGAGTTTCTCTTTCTCCAAGCCTCCTAGTAAAATCTAAGCTTTATTCTTTTAAGATTTTCTTTATTTGACAGAGAGAGAGAGATCACAAGTAGGCAGAGCAGCAGGTAGAGGGAGATGGAGAAGCAGGCTCCCCACCAAGCAGGAAGCCTGATGCAGGACTCAATTCCAGGAACGAACCCGGGACCACAACCGGAGCTGAAAGCAGATGCCCAACCGACCGAGTCACCCAGGTGTCCTAGGCTTTATTCTAACTGAATCCACTTATGCCATGTGCTCACTAAACCCATCAACAACAGGGGAAATGGGGTTCCAATGATTGGCTTGGGCCCTTGGAACTGGGGGTCAGAATGGTCCCACCCAAAATGCTTGGCAGCTTCATAATGGGAGAGAAGTAGGATGTTCCTGGGACAGCAGCCAGAAACATCTACTACACGATTAAAAAATTACCCTGGGTGGTCTAACAAGGGCTGCAGATATCAGTCAGTCTGGTTTGCCACGTGTCATGTCTGTTTTTGGAAGTGAGCCTAGAGGCACCAGGGTGGCTCATTCGGTTGAGTGTCAGGCTCTTGATTTCAGCTCAGGTTAGGACCTCAGGGTTAGTGCGATCAAGCCCCATGTTGGCTCCCTGCCGAGCGTGGAGGATGACTGAGATTCTCTCTCCCTCTCCCTTGGCACCTTCTAACCTCTCTAAAGGTAAATGTGAATTTTTTTTTTTTTAAGTTAAAGGAAAGAAAGGAAGGAAGGAAGGAAGGAAGGAAGGAAGGAAAGAAGGAAGGAAGAGAGGGAGGGAGGGAGGGAGGGAAGGAGGAAGGAAGGAAGGAAGGACAAACTCACTGCTCTGTGGGCCCAAACACAAGGAAGGACACCATCTGCCAAAGACACTTTATTCATTACCTCTTACAGTTAATAGTAAGAACAAATAGTAAGAACAAATACTAATAGCAAATAAAAATAATTTGTAAGAGGACCAGACATTAGATACAAACAAGGACACTATTAACATTAAAGAAAGCGTGCGCTGGCTGTGGCTGTGTGCACGCTGGTGGCCACAGAGGAGGCCAAGGCCTCCACGAAGGAGCTCTGGAGTCTACGTCCCAAGGCCGGACATCCGGAGCCTGAGCAGAAGCCCCCTCTTTCCCCATCAGCCAAACAGAATCTGCAATTTCAAAGTGTCTTCCAGCTCTCGCTCCTGGCGTGTTCTCTTCACACTTGCTTAGGCTCCAAGTTGTGGGCAGGACGTGAATCGGAGGAAATGTCCATTCGCTCATCAAGGAGGGGGATCTGAGGACCAAGGTGGACCCCATGTGCACTGTCCTGTACTCAACCTCCCAGCCCAGCTTCTTTCTGCCTCTGCTCCTCCTACTCCTGGCTACGGTTTTTATTTTTGTTTTTTCCTCCTCTGTCTCTTCCAGTTCCTGGCATTTCAGAAACTCTAGAATGTACTCCATGGTGGGCAGTTCTAGTCCGGGCCTTCTAATTAACATCAAAAAGATCCTGCCCTCCTGGGCAGGCTGAGAGACATGTCTTTTTTTCTGTGTCCTTGGTGTGAGGCCAGGTCACAAGTTCCTGGGAGGGCAAGGGTGATGAAATGCCTACACTGGAGGGAAGGAAGTAGCATCCTATCTTAGTAGAGAATGAGCCCGAGAACCTTAAAAGATGGTATTTCTTCCCACACCCTGGGACCTCCATAGCTGACGCCTAAGAGTCGCTCAGAATTAGGTCACAGATCTGCAGGTGATCAACTCAAAGCCACATTCTCCCGGGAGTCAACAATCCTGGGGGCTTTCCTCTAGATTGGAAATGGTTATCGTTGCCCCAGCAGGGAAAAAAACCCAAACTAACCATGGTACTGATGGGACAAAATCATCCATCTTACAAGTACTAATAGCATCTATGTGCATTTAGTTTGATAGGTACGTAGCAAACAAGCTGCATCCGTTGAAAACAGTCACAACTTCCATCCAGAGAGGCTGGGTGCTGGGTGGCAGAGGAATTCCGAAGGCCGGATCTTCATGGCTGCTCGCTTCTTCATTAGTCTTTTAAACACTCTAAACAAAAGCTCAGACACGGGGTCGAGGGCCATGGAGGGTCCCCAGTTGTTACCATTCTAGACAAAAAGAGAGAAAGAGAGAGATGGGGAAAGAAACAAAACAAAACTCTTAGAATAGAAGTACTACAACAGATCTATCTGAGAAAGAGCAGATTAACCACTCGTACCATTACTTCGAGTAACACTGTTTGAATACTATTTTTTATTTTTATTTTTTTTAAAGATTTATTTATTTATTTATTTGACAGAGAGAGAGATCACAACTAGACAGAGAGGCAGGCAGAGAGAGAGAGAGGGAAGCAGGCTCCCTGCTGAGCAGAGAGCCTGATGCAGGACTCGATCCCAGGACCCTGAGATCATGACCTGAGCCAAAGGCAGCGGCTTAACCCACTGAGCCACCCAGGCGCCCTGAATACTATTTTTAAAATTAGAACCATCACTGTTCTAGGTTCTCTGTCCACAGTAGCTTATCTGATTTTTATCCTAGGAGATAAAAATCCTTATGTCCATGTTACAGATGAGAAAACAAACCCAGAGAAGTAAATCACTTATCCAAGATCACACAGCTGATGCAAGTTAACAGAAGGGGCAAGGTGTCAAACCCACGCTCTAAATCCCATGCTTATTTTCGCCTCTAAGGCGTTCTCTTTAGAGAGCATGCTTGATGTGAAGGCTCCCCCATAAGGAGGAAGGGAGGTTTGTAAGGAGTCTGCCGGTTAAGGTTCCCCTTGGGTGGGGCCAGCAGGCACTCCCACAGAACTTGGGCTCTTGGCTGTTGAGGACTAGACCACGTGTCTGGCCCAACATGGCACGCCTCGTGTGAGTGAACCCCTTGTACCCACATGAAACTAATGACTTCTACGACTAAAGAAAACTTCATGTGCAAAATAAATCATGGGGGGCGCCTGAGTGGCTCAGTGGGTTAAAGCCTCTGCCTTCGGCTCAGGTCATGATCTCAGGGTCCTGGGATGGAGCCCCACATTGGACTCTCTGCTCAGTGGGGAGCGTGCTTCCTCCTCTCTCTCTGCCTGCCTCTCTGCCTGCTTGTGATCTCTGTGTGTCAAATAAATAAATAAAATCTTTAAAAAATAAATCATGGGTTTTCAAAACAGAAACAAGGCAGGTTTTCCCAGAACGGTCATAGCGACTTGAGAGCCTCAGCGGGCGGTGTGCTCACCCAGGGAAGTCTGCAGAAGAGAAATGTGCACAGAAAATGCGGAGCCCCTGCCCCCTTCCTCAGCCCCCTCTGCCGCCCTCCAGCTGCCTTCACCTCCTCCACCCTCTTTATTTTTCAACTCTTCTGGAAGTTAGGCTTTCCCCCACCCCTCCCTCTCTCCCCTCCTCCCCTGTTCTTGCTTCTTTAGGAAGTAATTTCTCCCCTTGCTGCTCTTCTTTTAACCTCTCTCTTCTCTGGTCCCTTTTTCCTCTCTCCCCACAACTTCCCTCCTTCTAGCTCAGTTCCCTTGGCTCCCTTCCCCATCAAAGTTGCTTCTTAAAGATTCATTCAGACCACAGTAAGCAAGGCCAGGACAACTATCCAATACAAATCTAATGAACACAAGCTATGCTCCTTGAAAGTCCTCCCAAGGGAAATAAAACAGCACCAGCCCCACTTGCCTTATCTTTGTAGAAACTGACTGGGTTATGCCTTGAGGTCTGGCAGGGCGGGGGGGGGGGGGGGGGGGGGGGGGGGGGGGGGTGGGGAGAAAGGAGAGATCTGCCTTGACATGGGCAGGCTAGAAGGATGGGACAGAACCCTGTTTACATCCAACAGTTCTTCCCTGACCTGGGTCCTAGATCCTCAAACAGCTTGGAAATTGTCATCACAATGACTGGAGTCCTATCCGGAAAAGTTTATAAAGTAAAGGGACCTTAAGGGCATCTAAATTATTTTTCTTTTTTATAGCTGAGGACATAGAAGGCCAGGAAAATTAAGTGATGTGTCTACAAGTCACGTAGATGGTCAGTGTAGGGGACCGAGTGGTGGCCACTTAACGATAAGAGGGAGTAAAAAAACAAAAACAAAAACAAAAACACAAAAACAAGAGGAGGGGGCATTCTCTGATCTTTCCTTTTTGATCAGAAAGCAAAAACAAACAAACAAAAACCCTGCGGCCAGGACATGAAGATACAATGGCCTGGTCCCTGTCCCTGCTCTGCCCTGGGCATTCCACTCCCTCTCCAGCCCACTGACTCACCTAGTAGTCAGGGCAAGGCTCGCTTCTCTGGCGCGCGTAGGGATTCTGTGGCTGACCAGGGACATTTGCCCTGACTTTAGGGAAGATGCTCCCATTTGCTCCGGGATTGCTGAAGCCTGTCGTCGTCTGCTGCAGTCTCAGATTTTGACAGTCGTTCTCAATCAAATTCTCTTCTTCAATATTCTTGTTTTTGTTCTTTGAGCTATAAAGGGTGACAAGAATTAGGATTTGACAATGGCAGAAAGTTCCTTAAAGCAAATGTTAGTATTCTTTTTAAAAATGTTTTTTCAAATTTTGAAATAATCTCAAATTTACATATAAGGTACACACCAAAAATTATACAGAGCTTCCATGGGCCCCCACCCAGATTCCCCAACTGTTACCATTTCTGCAGCATTAAGAATAAGTGCTTATACCTGACACCCCACTACCCATAATGCTTCACTACTTTGTTCACTGTACATTCCCTAAGTTTTAAGACAGTCTCCTCAAAAGCTCTCTGTAACCATTAAAACCAGAATGTTAACACTGATCCAACACTGCCATCCAGTTCGGTTGGTCTCATGCAAATTTTGTTATAATAATGATGACCACAGGGCACTCCCAGGATGACTGTCTCTTACCAGAAATGTCGTAAGGGAAGACCCACTCACCCTGTGAACCCGGGAGCCAGCCCAGCTTATGGAAGAATTCCCGCCCTTTGGGAACACTCCTGTCTAACCAAGGAAAGGAGAGGAGGAGAGAAGCTTCATTCCCCCTGGAATGGGCAAGCAATTAATAATTCTTGATGTGTTCCCAGGAACCATGAACCGGAGGCTGAACTAGGGGCCAGCCTCACTCTGCAGCAGGAAGCAGGAGCTGAGAAACATAGCCGTCGTGGGGTCACAAGGTTCCACAAACGGCCCCTGAGGATGCTGGAGACCCAAGACAGTTAGGCAATCCTCCTATGAAAGGAGGAGACAGCCTTGCTCCAGAACAGAATGTTCTGGCCATCTTCCTAGAAAAGGGAAAGTCACACTTCTGGTTCCCAGCTTTGCGTCCTTGTAATAAAGGCTTTGGGGAAGAGTTAATATCAAACTGGACTAATAAAAAAGAAACAATATCTATTTATCCTCTCACATTATCGTGCAAAAATACCTCTTTTGCCAAAATATAAGGTATGAACGAAGTGTCACCCACAAGCAGCTTGTTTTTACCAAAGTGCATCCCCACTTGGCACATTTCGAATGGAATAGAGATAACAGTGTTCTCTCTGCCAGTTAATGCAGGGAAATTTATCTAAATATTTGTTGAATAAATGAAAGGACTCTACTCAAGTTCTTCCGAAGAGCACTTAAGGCACCTGAGAAATGGCTTTGCAGAGAGAACAAGGCACGGGGCTCAGCTGAAGCCCAGGTCGGGCCCCCTGCCACAGGGTACTGGGCCCAGGGCCTTGACGAATGATCCTTGACAACATGAGTGTGGCTGAAAACTACTAACGGAGAGTTTCAGGGCCATCAGAAAATGGTTGTTATGTCACATTATAAAATTAAGTAAAAATAGACCTTGTTAAGCTGTTTAACAATGTATTTTTTTTAACACAAAGGGTGGGGCACCTGAGTGGCTTAGTTGGTTAAATGTCTGACTCTCGGTTTCAGCTCAGGTAATGATCTCAGGGTTGTGATACTGAGCCCTGAGTCGAGCTCCACGCTCTTGGTATTCTTCCTTCTGTCTTCCCTCCCACCCCTGGCACATGCTTGTCTCTCTCTAAAAACAAACAAACAAAACCCACACAAAGGACACAAAATTATGTCTATAATACCATTTGAGGGGAGCCTGGGTGGCTCAGTCATTAAGTATCTGCCTTCAGCTCAGGTCATGATCCCAGGGTCCTGGGATCGAGCCCCGCATTGGGCTCCCTGCTCAGCGGGGAGCCTGCTTCTCTCTCTCCCACTCCCCCGTGTCCCCTCTCTCACTGTGTCTCCCTTTGTCAAATAAATAAAATCTTAAAAAAAATAAAAGGAAAAAAATCATTTGAAAAGAAAAAATCTGGAAAGATATGCCAAAATATTAGTTGTCTCAGGGTAGTTAGGTTCTGAGTGATTTTTTAATTGTGCTCCTTTACACATTTTTCTGTTCTCTTCAGTAATCACGTATGGCTTCCATAAGCCAAAGCAAATGAAGGTAAGAGAGAGAGCCAACAGTATTAGAAAGGTTTTGCCTTATCTCCTTCTTTTGCCCCAGCAAGATGATATGTTTAGAACCCTGAGCATGATGCTGGTGGTGATGTGCCCTAGGGAAAGGGATGGGTTCCCTCCGTACCTTGCTAAGACAATCAGTGCGATCACCAGGCAGAGAATGAGGGCGCCGCCAATGCTGCCCACGACAGTGAGGATCAGCTGAAATTCTGAAAAGGAAAAGCAAAGAGTAGGCACAGCCTCCCACAAGCAACCCCCATTGGGTACTGCACAGATCCCTGTGCTCCCAAGCAGTTCCCACCCCCACCAGGGTCAGCTTGGGTGGCAGGCTGGGGGAGGGGTGGCTCATCTCCTTTAGCACCATCCCCACAAGTGTGTCCTTAGAACCCAATCAAAGAGGCTTCCTTGTCACATAAAAGAAGACCATAGACACAGAGGCAGCCACGGTCTGGGGGCAGGGCCTTCCTGGGCTCTGTGGAGATGAGATCTCAACAGAGGGATGCATCCCTTCCTAAGCTCTGCTGCCTCTGGCTGCCCACACGAGCCTCGAGTCTCGAGTCTCATCTTGCTGATAAGCAGGGGTAATGAGGCTAGAGTTACATTTTGTCACTAACAGAGGCTGGCTAGAATCAGTGGGGGGAGGGCTCATGGCTACCTGTATCCTCTCACACTATCGAGCATGGTAAATGTGGCTATGAGGTGGCCTGAGTACATGGCAGATTTCATTTCAAACACACGGTATAAGAGAAAAAAAAAACTGTTATGTAACTCTTACAATGATGACATGTTGAAAAATATTTTTGATACATGAAGTGAAATGTTATTAAAATCAGGTTCACTTATTTCTTTTTAAGAAATGTACTTAGAGTTTCTACAACTTGAAATTAAATATGAGGCTCCATTACATTTCTATTGGACAGAGCTGATCTAGAACACTCTGTCTCTTTCTGCTTCGTGACTGCCATATATGCCACCTCCAACCTGGATTCCTGGGGGTGCAGTCCAAGTCTGGAAAGGACCTCAAAGGTCATTTGGTCCAACCTCTCATCTTGTAGGTATGCACACCGGAAGCCCAAAAGGAAGAGAAATCTTAGCAAACCCAGCCTTGCAACAAAATACAGTAGAAATTGAGAGCACTTTCACCACCAACTCTGTGGCTGGCTGAGAGGCCAACAGTAATGTTTCCTCCATCTTGGATCATCTATCTTTAGTTCATTATATAAAATTTAAAATATACTATAATAAAAAATATAAAGTTAGTATTGTCCCAATCCTGTGGGGGTGGAGTGTGGGACAGAATGAAGCAACTGCACTGGCAACAACATATCACAAGCTAATAAACAGCGTGGGGACAAAAAGACTTGAGTATTTAAAGGGTTTTTAGTCCTGCTCTCCTATGACCACAAACATTTTTGGAATATACTTGTCTTTTATCCTTGCTAGTAAGAGAAAATGAATAGAATGACGGACGCCCTCCTCTGCTCTGGCCAAGTCCAGAGCCCACCTCTTGGGCTGGGTTCTGCTATCTGCTTTAACAGGGGGCTGCTGCCCATGACCGCAAGGTAGGCATGGGCTGGCATGACGCAGAACAGAGACTGCAGGCAGATTTCCTAGCTCTTTTTGAAGGGAACCAGAGACTTTGAATCCTGGGCAGAATTCTGAATGTGTTCCCTATTTCTCAGAAGCTTAATAACAAAGCAAAACTTTTATACTCACGGTCTTCACAGCGAACTCCACTGTAACCAAACGCGCACCTAAGATACAAGAATGGAAACCACGGTATAGAGTCTCTGTGGGGAACACATCAGAGTTCCCACCCAACTGCCATGCCTTCCTTTCCATCTGCCTTTCATTCTACCTGCTCCCCCTTCTCCTTCTCCTCTTCCGCTTCCTTTCCTTGTCCTCCCACTCCTCCAGGTGAGCACCTTCCATGGAGCTCTGGAAGGCAGAAAAGGGGACACAGTTCCAAGTGGTCCTATTTCCTACTGACAGAACCCTCCATCCTCTGAGCTTCAGGGAGATCCAGCAATTCAAACTAAGCTGAAGCCCAGAGGCACAGAGCATCGTGGGTCCCCTTGGGGGCAAGGCCACATGGCTCTGCCACTCAGCTGCTGCCCTGGAAGCTGGGGCTTGTTACTGACATTCTCTGAGCTTCACTTTGCTCTCTGGCAAATGGGAGATGAATTTGTTCCTGACAGTGTTGCTGTGTGATGCGTATTACCTAGCACGGTTCCAGCACCCAGAGAATGTTCTAGAACTGTTGATGCCGATAACGATTATAGGATGGTGCTCTTACACCTACCAACGTATGGCAGCACTCCAACCCATGCATATGCTATACATTCCATCCCTTGTGTCTAGCTCTTGTTGTGGGAAGATGAGAAAGGAGTGACTTCTCTTACTCTTGACAGATCCCACCATCACTCTCCTTGTAGCCTGGCAGGCACACGCATTCAGGCTTCCCAGTGTTCTTGTTCACTAAGCATTGCTTATTGTGGTCTGCATTGCAAGTGTCGGGACACCTGACAGCAGAAGCTTCAAAAGAAAATTTCTGAGTTATTTTCAGAAACAACCCCTTTGACCCCCAAAATGCTATGCCACAGAACATGATTTTTTAATACTGTTTTTCCTGGGTAAAGCAAGGTGCTCCCTGGCTGCGTACCCAAACGGTCCTTGTAAGAAGCATATGAGCTGCCTCACCAGGTCCGTGTGTCTAAAGCCCATCTCCACACCCCTCAGACTCTGGAACGCACATGGAAACGTGAGCAGTAAAGCTCGTATTTTGCAAATGCAAAAGGAGAGAACACATGGGTTGCGAAGAACACTTACAAGCAAGTGGAACACTCACCCACACACACAGGGACCTGGGCATTAGGTCTTTCCATCCCCTGCTTGCATTTACACAGCAAACTATTGTTACAGTTGTCTTGCTCGTTCTCTGGTTCACAACCGTAATAATCACACAGACTTCGAGCTGAGAGGCAGAGACAATTCCAAAATATGGTCAGCAAGACAATAGGGAGGGGAATTACGGCAGGGCAATAAATAAATGGTGGTTGTTTCAGGCCACTAAGCTAAGGGGTGCTTTGTAACACAGCAAAAGTGAATTGTCCCAGCTGTGCTGGGGGCTGATGAGTCAGCCTGAAGGGGAAACAGGGCAAGGAAGGCTTTCTGGGATCATCTGGGATCAAGTTATACCAAGCTACAACTTGGTATAAAGCCTTCTTGTTTCTCCTTTCTTCTTGCCTTCCAAAGAGAGAAGCAAACTAACTGGTCAGTGTGATGACTTGGGTTGGGGGGCGGCTGGAAAGGATAGAACCAAGCAAAGGAAGACAGGGAGGAAGAATGACTAGTTAACTGGAACAGGGCCCATCTGTGGATTCAAGTCTCCTGCTTTTCTTCCACCCCTCTTCTCACAGAGAATAGAAATGTTTACAAAAAGTGGGTCTTCAAGGGACTTCGAGGAAAAGTACTGAATACTTACCACTGTATCCCATATAATTTGCGTTGTTTTGAATTGCATTTATAATTGATTCATACACAGTCTTCTCGTTTTCTTTTGTAGTTTCTGCGAAGATGTTTAAGACCTCAACCACAACAGCACTGTTGCCAGCACGCATCTCTGATCTTGCTGAAGACGAGTTGCTGAAAATGAAAGGAATCCATCACTTGATGAACTGAACTAAAAGGTCCACAGACCGGTCTTCAAAACCTCCCAGACTCCCCAGTCTCCCAGCTCTAGTCCTTTTTTTTTCTTTTTTAAAAGATTTTATTTATTCATTTGGGAGAGAGAGAGAGAGCACAAGCAGGGGGAGAGGCATAGGGAGAGGGAGTAGACTCCTCACTGAGCTGGAAGCCTGATATGGGGCTTGATCCCAGAACTGGAGATCATGACCTGAGCGGAAGGCAGACACTTAACCATCTGAGCCACCCAGGTGCACTACCACCCCCCCTTTTAAAAAAATTTTTATTTATTTATTTGAGAGAGAGTGAGATCGAGAGAGATCACAGAGGCAGAGGGAGAACCAGACTCCCCGCTGAGCAAAGAGCCCAATGTGGGGGTTGAATCCAGGACTCCAGGATCACGACCTGGGCTGAAGGCAGATGCTCAACCAACTAACCCACCCAGGCACCCCTCCCAGCTCTAGTCCCGATCCACTATCCTCTATCCATAACTGGGGCCCGAATACGGTGGGCCTGAGGGTGCAGGAAGATGGCGATTTATAGGCCCAGAGATCTGGCTTTCTTCCACGTGTGCTCAGCAGTAATCTCCAGCCAAACGATGTCCTGCAGAAGGATACTGAGAAAACTTGTGGACAATCCTTTTTAGGAGCTAGAAGCCTGCAGCTAACCAGAAGTAGGACAGAGAACATCTGAAACTTGCCCCTTTCTGTAGAAAATCGAGAGTAGGTCTCCTGCTGAGCTGGTACTCATGATATACTGAAACACAGAGGGTGGGGCGTAGGGAGCAGGGGTACAGAACACCATCAGAGCCCCAGTTACCAAGTGCCTGCGATGAACAAGACATGAACACTACAGTTTGGAGCCCTAAGAACCGCTGTGCCAAGTTCTAATTCTTCCACCATCTAAGAGGAATCAAGTGATACAACCACTAAAAGAGATGGGGGGGGGTCGCCTGGGTGGCTCAGTGGGTTAAGCCTCTGCCTTTGGCTCAGGTCATGATCTCAGGGGTCCTGGGATCAAGCCCCTCATCGGGCTCTCTGTTCTGCAGGGAGCCTGCTTCTCTGTCTCTCTCTGCCTGCCTCTCTGCCTACTTGTGATCTCTGTCTGTCAAATAAATAAATAAAATCTTTAAAAAAAAAAGAGAGAGATAAGGAGGGGAAAAAAGGACTTTCCAAAAACTCCTTCCCTCTTCAACCTGTGGCTATGCATTTTTAAGACTCATGATATATTTTTCCTGTTTTCTTTTTTTCCATTCTGACTTTTGAATAAACATCAGAAGCTTGGAAACATAGCCAGCCTACTTAGAAAATGTTTACAGGCACGCCTGGGTGGCTCAGTGGGTTAAGCCTCTGCCTTCGGCTCAGGTCATGATCTCAGAGTCCTGGGATCGAGTCCTGCATTGGGCTCTCTGCTCAGCAGGGAGCCTGCTTCTCTCTCTCTCTCTCTCTCTGCCTGCTTCTCTGCCTACTTATGATCTCTCTGTCAAATAAATAAATAAAATCTTAAAAAAAAAAAAAAAGAAAATGTTTACAGCTATGTTAGTTCTTCAGGACAATCGAGAAAATCCAAAATCGGAACCAAATTCTGTGTTTAGGAACAGTCACCACCAAAGGAAGTCTCCCGAAACAAAATGGGCTTCAGATTCTAAAGTAAAACGATTCATTCATGATAGGATTTAGGGGTGGCTAGGGAATATACAGGGCAGTGAGAAAAGGGTATTTGATACAAGTCATTCTTTATCAGTTGAAAATGACCAGAAATCTCTGGTATCTTTTTGCAGTGAGGATAGGAAAGAAATGCCATGCACAGTTCGTTCAAAGAAGCTACTAGAGTTGGGGCGCCTGAGTGGCTCAGTGGGTTAAAGCCTCTGCCTTCGGCTCAGGTCATGATCCCAAGGACCTGGGATCGAGCCCCACATCAGGCTCTCTGCTCTGCAGGGAGCCTGCTTCCTCCTCTCTCTCTCTGCCTGCCTCTCTGCCTACTTGTGATCTCTCTCTCTCTCTGTCAAATAAATAAATAAAATCTTTAAAAAAAAAAAAAGAAGCTACTAGAGCACGCTCCAATTTAGGGGGCAAGATATTACAATGAAAGGAACAATGGAACCACCACATATTTAATGACAAACGACATAGCATAAATGATCAGGGCAGTAGGCTTGTAACGAGACTAGTCACAGCTTCCCCAAGCCTGTCTCCTCTTTCCAAAGAGAGATTTGAGAGAGAAATTCTGAGGATCCTTCCGATTCCAACATTGGTGCCATAGAGAAAGAGCTCAGGGAGCAGAGGGCACTGGACCAGAGCCGAAGAAATGCCTTTCTAGGTGAGAGAAGGCCCTGCACATCCCCTGGGGTACCCGAGCTGATGCGTCTCTGAAACCCTCTCTTATGTAGAAGGTTGCCTCTGAACGCTCCTGGCTCCCTTTCAATAAGTCCTTTAAAAAGGAAATGTATGCAACAGTATCAGGGAACCTCCCTACCATGACCCCATGGGACCAGCTCTCTATCACACATGTAGGGTTCCCTATTCCAGAAGCGACACAGATAGGAACAATGCACAGCACTCCAGCAGGTGTCTGCCATGTACCCACATCCAGCTTCAGGGCATTGGCCGGCGTCTTCCTCTCGCCATGTGATCCCCATGCCTCCCCCATCAGGCTGCTCGCTGGCCTCCTGGGTACCGACTGCTTGGCCCCTTGTTCACTGCCAAGTTCCAACCTCACCACCTTTATAGGAGGTCTCCTCTGAATGTGTGTGTATCAAACAGGTATGCCGTGTCTTATTCCACAGAGGATCTGACAAAGCTCATCAAGACAGATGCGACAGGAGAACCCTAAAATGTAACTATGTTAGGGCTGCCTTTTCTGTACAACTCCATTCACCTTAGAACCTTCTTTCCCCAGCCTGTAGTGCACATGTATTGATATGCTTCAGAGAAGGCCATGATGGAATCACTACCTTCGTGAGACTCCTCTGACTCTCTAGGTCCCCAGGTGGCATCCAGCACTGGTCACTGCATATGGATATGCTCAGTAATTGCTTGTTATTCCTGCAGAAAGAGCTCACTGCTGGCCCCTCAGTAGCTAGGTTGTGACTGGGATATTCTTTTCTCCCTTACTTCCCATCCCATGAGAAAAGAGACAACTGTGAGCCATTCTTTCTCTTCCCTGCCCTCTGGAATGCACATTCTAGGGGTTGACCAGGTGTGGTTTTAGCCAAGGAATGAAACCAAACCAACTGGTCCGAGGGAGACCCTGGGCCACATGTACAGGTTGCTAAGGAGACAATCACAGACAGCATCTTGCTGCCCCAAGCTACCACCGGCCCATCCAGGCCAGGGTCAGTGTGACACTGGAAGCACAGCCCTCTCCAGTGCTCAGACTGACCACCTCTTCTTATGATTTGCCACTGAAGGGCCTCAGAGAACTCGAGAGAAGACCCGAAGTTAGGCAAACATACACCGGCCTCCCAAGTATCCCATCAGTCCATAGCAAACTTACCTTACTTTATTGATCACAGTCTGTCCGTAATCAGAATTGGCAAATGTGCTTTTAAACTGTGGAGGAAGGCAAAGAGATGTATTAATAACCACAAAGATGGGGGAAACATGATACTACACCTGAGTTTTCACACAAATACATTTCTAACCTCATTTGTGTTAATACACGTGGCTCATCACAGCAATCTGTTGCTTACATGGGCTCTAACACCTTTTGATTAATTTTTGTTTTACACTAATACGATTCCGAAATGTCAGAGTTATCTAGGAAAAAGACCCAAGGCACCCAGCCCAATCAGCGATCATACTTTTAAAAAAATAAGGTGCCCAACTTACTCAGTTTGTGTTTTCAAAGTCCCCGTGGAGTTTTGCATATGTGAGTTTGCATGTCTGTTAAAGAATTCTCTACAAGCACGCTTTGTGAACTCCTCCATTCCCTCAGGGAACACTTCTTTAATCGCCCACCTTGACAAGGCATCATGCCACAGACAGATGGCCGAGACAGGCGGGTCCTGCCCCGTGATGAGTCAGGGGACTATACCCAGAAGTGGGGAGAGGTGAACGCCACAGGGCAACACAATCTACCACACAAATTCAAAGACACTTCCGGTTGCCAAGAACCAGGCGGAGCTTCAGAAAGGAGACCAGCCTTAGAGCATTTTAGGCAGTGATGCCAGGATGGGGAGAGGAAAGGAGTCTACCCAGGGATGTTCAGAAGCGGCGTGGCTCAGAAGGGAGCAGGCTGAATGGGGAAGGGTATCTGAAGCCAAATTTCTCCGTGTCAGCTTTTGCATGGTGGCTTTGAACTTCACCTTTCTCTTCAGAAACCTAGAGGTGAGAGTAATTCCTACCACAGGGGGCTACAGTGTTTATCCAGTGAGATGGAATACGTGACACATGGCTTTGGGAGCTGGGTGGGGCTCCAGCAACGGTACGTCTTACTAGGCAGACAACTCCAGATACTTGCAAGGGGCCAGAGATAAAGTTGGAACCTCTAGCAAGGGTGAGGTGGAGTTGGGGTGAGGGTCCCAATGAGCATGTTAAGTTCATTAATGCCAAGAATAGGGTGTTTTTTCTCTTTCTGATGACATAACCTTCCCTAGTCCACGGCACTCAGCACAGGGCAACCCCCAGGAACTGTTCCACAAACACTGGCAGACAAATGATGGAATGGATTAAATGTGGAAGATATGACTTGGACGAGTCTTCCCCTCTACGGGCCCCAGCCTCCCTATTTTATCATATGAACTGGGTTCACATATCACTGAACTGGGTTGGTGCAAACTTTTTATAATTCATGACTTTTTATTATTTTTCTCTTCATGGCAACCAGTGTCATTTTAGAAAGATGTTACTTCTCTTTTCTTCTAGTGAAATTCAAATAAATTTGATGCTCTCATTCTTCTGGGTAGCCTTTTGTCCAGAACACATCTATATGCCTTTTTCAATTCTTTTAAACGCGAGGAGCAGCTGGTATTTCTGTAAACCATCAGAGGCCTGGAAGTTCAATGGATGACCTCCAAAGTCCCTCTCATTGGCCTACTGACCAGAGCCCATCTAATTTTCTTATTCCCAAAGAAGAGATATTACAAAATTAGCATCTGGCAAAGGAGAATGTGTCTCCTTTTTTTTATTCTTCCAGGTCACCCTTTGAGAATGTTGGGATATACACGTCTCAAACTGAAGTCTGGACAAGAAGGCAGGAGTTACCCAAACAGGCCTGCCAGGCTTCTACTGTACAACACAGCCAGCAGGTGAGGAGGAGTTCGAGAAGCAGCTTGAAGGTCTCGGTTCAAGTCCCTACCTCCTCCCTCATCAGCTGGGTGACCTACAGTCACTTGACCTTCCTGATCCTTGGTGGCCTCATCAGCAAAATAGCACCGTAGTACCATCCTTTCCGTTGTGCTGTTTTAATTTGAAATATTACACATAAAATGCCAGGCCCATACACATCAGGGGAACTCCAAATCCCTCTGTAGACTGTTTGGATCCAGCTGGGTAGATAATGGACCCTGTGAGACACACAGGGCCTGAGCTGGGACGCCCCAGGGCTACAAAGTGTCTGCTAAGAGGACCTTGAAAAAAGTCAATTGCTTCTCTCTTCCTGTCTCCAGGAAGCTGCAAAAGAGTTCTGGCTATCCCCTTCAGGAGAAGAGCTTCCTGGAAATTAGAAGAATGCTCTATGCCCTCCTGGTCCCCCTGAAATTAAGACCTGACTGAGATCGGGTCTTAAAACTGGTATCTGAAGGCAGGAGGGGTCTTTTGGACACCCACATCCAAAGCAAGCTTGGGCGACGTAGTGGCCGCTGCTCGGTGAAGCCACGGGACAACACAGGGGTTCCCTGGAATTAGGAACACACTGATGTTACTATCCTCAATATACTGAGTATCATCCAAGTGGGAGAGCTGGAATGTAGGTCCGGGATGAAAGGGTAAGTCATGGTCAGCTGGTCCATTGTGCTCAGGAGGTATGACAAGGGGCTAAGGCCAAGGCTGGGCTACTAGAGCCATGGTTTTTATCCTAGCAGCGCCAGGCATGGGCTGTTTGGTCATGAGCACTAGCTCTCTCATGCTATCTATAAATCATCTGGACAATGATGTTTTATGTTCTACCAATTCTGCTTGTAAAACTCTTTTGTAGTGAAATAATTCTGAATTAAAAGATATGGTCTTCAATGTCTTCTTTAGTTTTTATAAGAGTTTCTCCACTTAGGGTTCTAAGACATATTTACAGGCTACTGTTTTTTCCCTTTAAAGCTGAACTTTCAGAAACACTGGCTGAAGGTCCTGTAAAAGCTCCTTCAGATCTAACATCTGTGGCTCCAGAATGGAGATTTCCATTCCTTTTCATGCAGACACATTCACTCACAGTAATCAAAATGACGCTATTGTTCATTTTGAGATTCTTAACAGTGGAGAAAAGTGACAGATATTAATTCAAACAGAGTTCCTTTAATAAACATTAAAAAAAAAAAGCCAGACGTATAGAAATGTATGTAAATTTGATTGTAGAAAGGAAAAAAACCCTTCAGTTTTTTTTCTCTCTCCAATTCTACAAAAATAATTTTATTTTAAAACATAATTATTTTGATGTGTCCATTTAAAAATATTGTAGGGACACCTGGGTGGTTCAGTTGAATAAGCGTCCAACTCTTGATTTCCGCTCAGGTCTTGATCTCAGGGTCATGAGTTCAAGCCCCATGAAGTGCTCCATGCTGGGCATAGCTACTCAAAAAAAAAAAAAATTCTAATAGCTTCTCTATCAATGGGCATGGCATGGCTGGAGAAATCTTCTAAAGGCCCTCTGCCATGCCGGGTATTACCCATGTAGGTGCAGATCATGGGGAGGGCCAAGGGTCCCAGAGGAGGACCTGGGCAACCAGGCACCAGGGGGCTCAGGACAGCTGCAATTGACCAACCAGTAAGGGTGCCTTTCACTATTTCAGCAACTGGGATAGCTATACCAGTGTGTACTACCTGAACACCAGCCCTATGTGCTGCAAGAAAGTGTTAAAACGAAGAAAACTTATACAGAGAAAAGGGTTGGAAAATACTTACAAAATCAGTAATTCGAATATGTAATTCTTGATAGGCCATAGAATTTCCATCTTCCAAACCAGATGTTCCTGATACTCTCACTGTAATAGTTCCAGGGAATAACTTTCCTAAAATTTAAGCAGAATCTTTTTATAATATTTAATGTAAAGAGAGTCAATTTACATTTTGTTTAAAACACAGATTATTCATGGGACGCCTGGGTGGCTCAGTCGGTTAAGTGGCTGCCTTTGGCTCAGGTCACAATCCCAGCATCCTGGGATCAGAGATCCACATTGGGCTCCTTGCTCCGCAGGGAGCCTGCTTCTCCCTCTGACTCTGCCTGCCACTCTGCCTGCCTGTACTCTAGCTCTCTGACAAATAAATTAAAAAAAAAAAAAATCTTAAAAAAAACCCACCACAGATTATTCTTAAAAATTCTACACATTGATGATATTATGGGAAGTCTGGAAAGATGAAAAATGTGACCCAAAATCTCACCCAACCCAACACAACCATTTTTGTTTTGATATTATTCTCGCAGCGTTTTTTTCCATGTGTAGTTTACATTGTCATCATTCCATGAATCTTCTTTAACTATTGTTACATAGTAAGCATTTTTCCAAATATTATCTAGTCTTCATAACTATCTGTCTATTCATTCGTTCATTCATTCATTCATCATTCATTCATCATTCATTCATTCGTTCGAGTAGGCTCCACATGGGCCCAGTGTGGGGCTTGAGCACATGACCCTGAGATCAAGAACTGCTCTACCACCTGAGCCAGCTGGGCGCCTTCCCCATCACTATTATTTTTTTTTCGTAACTATTGCTTTCAGAGACTGTATAATACTCTATGAAAAAAGTGTTATCTTCATTGATAGTCATTTTTCGGTTTTCATGCTACTGATTATTTAAAAGGAAAAAAAATATTTGCAGCTAACATCTATGCACAAACCTATCTTTGGGGTCATTTACTTAGAGTGGATCCCAGAAATGAGATTATTAGTGCTGAAATATGAACACCTGCTTGGCTTTTGGACTATCTCTAATCCTTGTGGTCCCTCTAGTTTCCACTGAGATAAAAGCAGCAGCCTCTGTTGCCCATAAATTATCCTCTACTAATACTCTGGAGGCTCTTTTTTTACATTATTTTGCATTTTCTACTCCACTTTAGGTCTGAAATGCAGCTCTGCAGGGTTCATCCCTTATAACTCACCTTTTCTGCAGGTGGAAAAGTTATAGTAATATCCCAATGAGCACAGGCAAAAATGGGTATTGTGCAGGCTAACACATGAAGAATCACCTTGACAGGAATCTCTTCGGCAAGGATTGATGGGAACTGAGAGAGAGGAAAAAGAGGTTACAAATCCACAGAATGACAACAGATTACACCCAGAAACAGACTTAAAAATCTTCATGCCTGCCTCCTAGGCATGTTCTGTTCTTTGGTTGTGTTAATCCGCGGTACACCTTTAGAAGAGCGGATGCCTCTAGATAGTTTTTTTGTGGAAATTCTGGAGCCGGGTGCTTGTCAACAGTAAAGACAGAGGTGGGTGGGCAAGAGTCTGCTCAGAGAGACAGCAGTCTTCTGATTCCATCTTTAGCATCTCTGGCTTCTAACACTAGACAGAGCTTCCTAGTACCATTTGAAAGAAAGCATCCTATTTTCTAGGGAAGTATGCATAACTGTCTTACAGGGAAGGACAGGCAGGAAGCCTCCCAAAAGAAATGAGGTACTCTCTTTGGGTTAGCATATAAGGCATACAGACACACGAAGAGAGGAAAGGGATGATAAGGGGACTTTGCAAATTAACTCAGTGAAAATTCTCAGAGGAAGTGATGAGGGCACATCCCACCCCCGGCTTTCTGAGTGGATGACTTGAATGGATGCTGGGAATTACTGCAATGGTTTCTACACCACTGGCTGGTGCTCTCAGACCAGGTAGGGCACAACATCTTTCCTCTCTCTGGAGAAGTGGTAGGAACGGGGAGTAGAGTTAAGTCGGAGGAAGATAGTTCACTTGGCTGGCCATTTTCTCCATCTCTGTCAAATGAAATGATTCTGAGCTTTGATTCGAGAAAAGTTTGAGTGACTGATAAGAAGTGTTAATGTTCTTACGAACCTACAATAAAAAACGTTGCTTTTAAAAAAAACTATATATAAGATACAATGTGTAGAGCATCTTCTCTTTTGTGATAAAAAAGGATATGCACAAACATATTAAGTATGTATGCTTATATTTGCACACATTCCTCTGGAGAAAGATAAGAGAAACCGGCCACAAAAGTTGCCTCTGGGGAAGGAAGCAGGGGTCTGTGTCCTAGGGGTTTAGGATAGGAGGGAGATCTGGAGCTTACTGCATATACTTCTGCACTGTTTAAGCTTCTTTCCTTCCATAACTGTGGGTCTAATGCACTTTTTTTTTTTTTTAATTTGACAGTCAGAGATCACAAGTAGGCAGAGAGGCAGGTAAAGAGAGAAGAAGGGAAGCAGGCTCCCTGCTGAGCAGAGAGCCCAATGCGGGGCTCTATCCCAGGACCCTGGGATCATGACCTAAGCCGAAGGCAGAGGCTTTAACACACTGAGCCACCCAGGTGCCCCCTAATGCACTTTTTTAAAGAAATCAAAAACAAAATAGTGCTGATGAAGATACAGAGTAAAAAGAACTCTCATACTGGTGGGAAAGCAAAATGGTACAGCCACCTTGGAAAACAGTCTGACAGTTTCTTACAAAGCTACACATACTCTTAGCATAGGATCCAGCAAGTGTACTCCTTGGTATTTACCCAAAGGAGTTGAAAACGTGTCCACTCAAAAACCTGCATAGGAGTATTTATGACCGCTTTATTCGTAATCCCCCAAACTTGGAAGCAACCGAGATGTTCTGCCGTAGGTGATATGGGTAAAACTGTGGTACATTCAGACAGTGGGATATTATTATTCAGAGTTAAAAAGAAATGAGCCATCAAGCATGAAAAGATATGGAAGAATCTTAAGTGCATAGTACTGAGTGAAAGGAGCCAACCTGGAAAGACTAACACATGAGTCCAACTACATGACTTTCTGGAAGAGGCAAAACCATGGACACCTATACCCAAAGTGGCAATAGTGGAAAGATCACTGGTTGCCAGGAGTTGGGGGGCTGGTTTGGGGATGAGTAAGCAGAGCACAGTCAATTGGTAGGGTGGTGAAAATGTTCTACGATACCGCATGCTGGATACAGGTCATTATACATTATACATTTGTCCAAACCCACAGAATGTGCAGCAGCAACAGGGAGCCCTAGCATAGCCTGCAGACCTTGGATGACGCTGCTGTGTCAGTGAATGTTCACCTGTTGTCACAAATGTACCCTCTGGGGAGGGGTGCTAATAATGAGGGAGGCTATGCCCGTGTGGAAGCAGGAAATATATGAGAGAGCTCTGTACCTTCCTCTCCATTTTGTTGTGAATCTACAACTGCTCTAAAAAATAAAGTCTATTAAAATAATTCTTTTAAAAGAGTTAAAAAAAAAAAAAGCCTTCCTGGGACAAAGCAAGTGTTGAGCACTTAGTATCTCATAAAAAACAGCAGGGCCACCACTGGTCTAACAAGGCACGAGTTAACATTTTAAGTAAAATAAAAGGTTTTTTTTTAAAAAGGCTCAGCCTTAAGTAAGCAAGGATGCTTTGGACAATCCCAGGGAAGAAATGGAGTCAACTCCACTCAGGATTCACCAGACAAATAACTCCTGGATGGCTTCTTTCCAGCAGTAAAGGACAGACCTGTCTGCTGGTCTTCCATGCCAGGAATAAGGGTACAGGATGGTACAGCTGGAAGGGATTTTTGTGGCTATTTAGTTCAGTCACACCTTATTTTGGCTGGGGAAGCTGAAGCCAAGAGAGAGAGGAATTTGCTCCCCTCCCCACAGTGAGCTAGTGGTTGGGCCAGGACACAAGGCGGCTGCCCTACTCCAGGAGAATGTCTGGGTAAGCAGGAATGGCTTCGAAGAGCTCCCTTTCCTGACTCCAGTGGAGCTGGTCTTGCAGCTGTGCCCCAGGTGGCCTAGCCTTCAGAGTGGGCCCTTCAAACATGAAAGCAGGCTGGGAACCAGGTGCCCTGTACATGCTCTAGCTCCACTTGCTTCACCATCCATCTCTCAGATCTGTCAAAGAACACTGGGGAAAGCAAAAGTAGTCAGTGTAGGGGAACATCAGCTTGCTCTTTGACCTTGGGCAAGTTGCTGTCCTCACTGGGCCTCAGTTTCCCTGAAAATGACAGGGTTCATGTAGACCCTTCAAGCCTAGATCTGAGGATTATTTTAGACCAGGGGTTGGCCAACTATGACTCATGAGCCAAATCTGCCTAGTCTTCAGTTTTTGTAAATAGCATTTTGCTGGTATACTGCCAGGCTCATTCTTCTATATGTTGACTGTGACCACTTTTGTGTTACAATGGCAGAGCGGAGTAGTCCCAACAGAAATCCTACTGTGGCCCACAAAACCTAAAATATTTACTAGTTTGCCTTTACTGATAAAGTTGGCTGACCCCTATTCTAGACCAAACTTTGGGAAATGAGGCAAGTAGTTTCAATAATTCTGGCTTGAGATCAGACTGCCATCTCTTAGTAGTCCCAAAACATCTGTCCTTTGGACAATGGCCCCAATTCATGTCTAGAGCTGTCTGAGCACTGCTGTTGTTTGGCATTTTATTCCTCAGGCTCCAATTTAATGAATTAACTCAAATTCCAGACTGCGATCGTCCACCATCATAATGTCCCACTTTTCACTAATACTATTGAGGAGTCAGGGAAGAACAGACTCCTTCCTTGGGTAGATCAGGTAGCTAGACAAGTGTGGCTGGCAAGGCAGTGCTTGTTGGGATCTGGCCTTCTCAGAGAAGCTGAAACTATTTCTAAAAAATCTCCTGGAGAAGTAGCTTGCATAATGTCCACATTCATAAAAATATTCCACATCTAGCTTGAAGCAGCAAGTGGGAAGGAAAGGAGAGCAGAACGAAACGGTGGCTTAGCTTTTAGGGTCTCTGCCGTCACTACTAGCCTTTGTGACTCAGTGTTTTTAATTCCAGGGGTTCATGGTCAGGGAAACCTTGGGTGTCTTTATACCCACTTCTCTCCGCCTGTAGAACACACTTACCTACTGTCCTCCACAATGTCCTGGCTCCACAAGTAAGCAGTCTCTGAGGGAAGGAATTGCTCTTACCTGTGGAACTGGGGTTTGGGGTGCTGATTGTGGACAAAGTGATGCTGTCAGAAGTCACTGGAGTAACAGCCTCTGAGGAAATATTCTGTGTGCCTGGGGTGATGGTCGATCCATTACTTGTTGGAGAAGGAGCAGTTGAACCCAAATTGCCACTTCCAGGGGGGGTGGTGTTAGTGGCAGCTATAGGTGTTGTTTTAGCAGTTGTGTTTGTTTTATTTTCTGTAGGTGTGACCGTGGAGGCTGGAACTGGACTTGATACAGGAACCGTGGAAGTGGGTGGAGTTGGTGTGGTGGGAGTGGTAGTAGGTAACGGAGATTTTGTGGGATCAGTAGATGGCACCTTTGTGGGAGTAGTAGATGGCCCTTTTGTGGAAGCGGTAGTAGATGACAGAGATTTTGTGGGAGAAGTAGATGGCGCCTCTGTGAGAGTAGTAGATGGCACTTTTGTGGAAGCGGTAGTAGATGACAGAGATTTTGTGGGAGAAGTAGATGGCGCCTCTGTGAGAGTAGTAGATGGCACTTTTGCGGAAGCGGTAGTAGATGACAGAGATTTTGTGGGATCAGTAGATGACAACCTTGTGGGAGTAGTAGATGGCACTTTTGTGGAAGCGGTAGTAGATGACAGAGATTTTGTGGGATCAGTAGATGACACTTCTGTGGGAGTAGTAGACGGAGTTGTTGGAGTAGCAGATAGAGTTGTTATGGTGGTAGATGTATTCATAGCTGAAGTGAGGTTGGTTGTGTCTGACTGGACAACTGGGGGAATAGAGATACCAAGTTTCAGAAGGCAGAACACTCAATATATATTGGCAGTTGCTACTATTTCATACTATAAGTACCCAATCATGCCCTTCTGAAAAACAAATATAGGTGACTACATTAAAAATGAAAATACATGGGACACCTGGGTGGCTAAGTCATTAAGCGTCTGCCTTTGGCTCAGGACATGATCCCAGCGTCCTGGAATTGAGTCCTGCATCGTGTCTCTTGCTCAGAGGGGAGCCTGCTTCTCCCTCTGCCTGCCACCCCCCCTCTTTGTGCTCTCTCTCTTTCCGACAAATAAATAAAACCTTAGGAAAAAAAAAACCAAACAGGAAAATAAAGGACTGCTTCGAACACACACACAGATCCCCATAATAAATAAAATTAAAAATTAAACAGACAAAATTGGAAAAAATGTTATTGAAATCTGTTACGAAAAGTTAGTATGTATGAAGATGAATACCAAGAAGTTACATCTTTTCTTCCTGCAGTTGCTGAACTACGAATCTGGCTTTTTAACACTCCTGAGTCGTCCTCTGTGAGGACAACTGAAAGCGCCAGCAGGGGGTGCTATTACTACCCAAAAGTGGCCTCCTTTTGAGGCAATTATCCTCATTTCCCATTTATAAAGCATTTTAGGGAGGGTTGGAAAGGGAGCGTGTTTAAAAGAATGATGAGGGGAGCCTGGGTGGCTCAGTGGGTTAAAACCTCTGCCTTTGGCTCAGGTCAAGATCTCAGGGTCCTGGGATCAAGCCCCTCGATGGACTCTCTGCTCAGCAGGGAGCCTGCTTCCCCCACCCCCACCTCTCTGCAGACTTGTGATCTCTGTCTAACAAAAAAATAAAATCTTAAAAAAAAATGATGAAATAAAAATACTGCATTAAGTGTGTATTAAACTTTATTCCCAAATTTTCTTTCTAGTGATGTTTACCCATTAATAATTTTAGACACATTAATTTTTTTAAAGAGTAGGATGAATAGAGATGATCTTTGCCCTAAGGGCTACAGTGATCATCAGAATTGCCTTTTTTCAACTCTTAGGAATCCCTGAACACATGGAAAAGTAAAGTCTTGGTGGTCCAGTGATTAGTCTTCCGGAACCCTTCATTGTCTCAAAGAACTCTGACATTGACAACCGGTTAAAAAAAATTATTAAACGCTTTAGTGAGAAAACAAAACAAAAAAAGTTTTAGTGAGGAAGCAATTCCTAAACCGTCATATTTAAAAACAAAAAAACCAAAAAATCTGATGATGGCCCCTGGGTCTGTGAGGGCCCCCCAACCCCGCCCACCCCAACAGAATCTGGGTCTTCACCTTCAACAGGGTCTGGCTCAAATAATCATTGAAGGTTAAAGAGATAAACAATGGGTCTTCTAGCAGCAAGGAAACGGCTCATCTTGACCGATTTCTGCTTCTCTTTTCATCTAACAAGGGCCTACCCCCTATGCCAGATAGTGACTGTGAAACTTATACAAGTATCCACATTTGACAGAAGAGCCCTCCACTATCCAGAGGGGTTTAGGGATTTGCCCAGAGGTAAGCCTTAATTCCCATGGGGAAGCGGTCAGAGAACTGCTGATGCTAGCTAGAACCAGAAATTAAACCAGACCCTGTAGGGGCCAAACGAAAGGCTACCAGGCACCAGACCTTTTGAATCTACTGATTTGTGCTTTTCTGGCCTGAAGAACTCTGGAGGACAAATCTCTGACTTGTTGAACCCCACACCCCATAGTCCAGAGGCCCCTTGACTTCTGCTCTGTCTTCCTTCACCTCAGACTTAAATGCCCTAAGTCTTAGAGCAGAGTCAGAAAATAGCCTGCTGGGCCACAGAACTGGTACAGTAAGCCTGTTGGTTCTAGCTCCAAGACAGCAAACGTGATTAAAAGAATTAAAAATAGTGAAAATGTTGGGCACCTAGGTGGGTCCGTAGGTTAAGCATCTGTTTGGCTCAAGTCATGATCCCAGGGTCTTGATCCCAGGGTCCTGCCTGGGGGTGGGGGGTGGTCCCTGCTTGGGAGTCTGCTTCTCCCTCTGCCCCTCCCCGCTTCTTGTGCTCGCGCCAGTTCTCTCTCAAATAAATCAATAATTTTAAAAAAATGAAATGTAAAAATAGCAATCATTAAAAAAACTGTAAAATGTTTCTTACCCGAGGTTGCAAAAACGAGGCTAAGAGTGAGGTGAGCAAGGGCTCTCATTTTAGACGTTCTTGCCGGGCTCTCCAAGGAGGAAATGACTTCCCCTCAACCGTCTTTAGTTTTTAACTCGCTTTTGGGTGCAAAGTCCAGTCATTAACTGACGTCAGTGAGCCAGAGGCAATTACTTGTTGGGGTTTGGTCCCATACCATAAGTCTCTTCTGAGCTTTTGAGATAAAAGAAGTGGGCCTGGCCTTAGAGAACATTTTTCTGTTCAAAATATTCTATCCAAATTATTATAGTCCAAAATAGTTCAAAACAGCCTAAATATCCTTGGGAGGTGGTGTGGGGTGGGGGAGCAGTTAATCTCTATACCCCAACTGTCTCCGGGCGACCACCTATTAGGAGGTCACCATTCCTTTGAACACCCCATGGGAGCATCTGTGGGCCACTCCCTGCCATTTGAACCTGGAGATGCAGTTTCCTCCCACTGTAGCTTCAAGAATCCCTGGGGGGCTCTACCATGGTTTCTCCACACGGTGGCCTTAGCTTTTGGGGGGCTCTACCATGGTTTCTCCACACGGTGGCCTTAGCTTTTGGTCGGCCTCCCCGAAGGCCACTTTGAGCAACTTTGTAATCCTGTCTCCAGGTTTCCATGGCTCTCCACATAGCACTTTACCTAGACAAGGCCCCCCATTCATGCTTTCAAATACGCTCGATCTCCAACTGTAGCATTTAGCCTAACTTTACTGAAGGCTTGGGGGTGACCACTCCAGGAGGGGGAAATTCAGTGCAAAAAAGGAAAAACTTAAAACAGATGACTACATGTTTTCACTCCTTGGTTGTTCTCTGCCTGGCCGTCTGCTCCCAGCTCCTCGACTCACCTCTTGTCCCTGAACCCCTGACTTCTTGCCACCTTCTGGGAACCAGGCCTGTCACTCAGAGAGGGGCCTTCTGAACCCAGGCCTCCCTCCCTACAGCTCAGAACCACAGCTCTCCCAGGGCCCAGGCCTGCCAGAGGGTGAATCCAGTCACCCCTTGGGAATATTAGCCAGAGTTTTACCTCTCACCTTAGTGAAGACCAATTTTTTTTTATATTATTACAGAGAAGATTGTTTCCTTGTGGTCCCAAAAGTCTCCGTTCAGGAGTAAGATTTTGGGTTTACTCTTATATAGCCAAGAGGCTCATTTAAATATTTTGCCCAAACAAAGAAACCTGTGCTGTTACTCTCAGCTTAAAGGATCCTGGCCCCAGAAGTTAAATCAAAGACTCTTTTTCACCTTTTCTCTTTTTAAATTTGCTTTACTGAGTTAGGCCTAACTTACATCAATAAACGGATCCCTTTAACATGTAAAATTCAGTGAGTTTTGATAGATGTGTATATATGTGAAACCACCATTATAATCATGATACAGAACATTTCTCTCACACCCAAAAGTTTCCTCTTGCCCCTGTGCAGCCCATTCCTCCCTCCACCCCCAACCCCAGGCAATGACTGACCTGCTTTTTGTCACTAGAGATTAGTTTGCTTTTTCTTTCTTTTTTTTTTTTTTAAGATTTTATTTATTTATTTGCCAGAGAGAGAGAGAGAGAGAGAGAGCACAAACAGAGGAAATGACAGGCAGAGGGAGAGAAAGAAGCAGACTCCTGTTGAGCAGAGAGCCCGATGTGGGACTCGATCCCAGGACCCTGGGACCATGACCTGAGCTGAAGGCAGAGGCTTAACCCTCTGAGCCACTCAGGTGCCCCTAGTTTGCTTTTTCTAAAAATGTGTATAAATGGAGTAATAGGGTATGTACTAGCCTATGTCTGAAGCTCCTCCTTGGTACAATGTTTTCAAAATTCATCCATATTACTGTGTATATCAGTCCTTTCTTTTACAATTTATGTATAATGTACCTAGGTACAATTTATATATAATAATTTATGTAATTATTTTAAAGTTGTGATATGGGCATATACCTACTAAATGATGATCATAATCAACATACCAAATGTTCTCATAATCTCCAAAAGCTTTGTGCCTGTCCTTCCATACATCCCCAGTTTGAGGTAACCACTAATCTGCTTCCTGTCACTATAGATTAGTTTGCATTTTCTAGAATTTTATAGAAATGGAATCATATGGATGTACTGGGTTTGGGGATTTTTATTTTTTGGTCTGGTTTCTTTTACTCAGCATAATTATTCTGAGACTCATCCCTGTTGTTTTGTGTATTAATAGTATGTACATATAATTCTGCATTCATCTGAAAGTGTTTCCTTAGGATAAAGTCCCAGAAGTGAATTTCTCAGTTATTTCTCAGTCAAAAAAACACATTTTTAAAAAGATTTTCTTTATTTATTGGAGAGAGAGTGAGAGAAAGAGCGTGAGAGGGAAGGGCCAGAGGGGGAAGCAAACTCCCCACTGAATGGGGAGCCCGCTGAGGGACTCTATCCCGGACTCTGGGATTGTGACCCGAGCCGAAGGCAGATGCTTAACCGGCTGAGCCACCCAGGTGCCCCCCGCAAAACCATTTTTTATAGCTCTTACTATCTGTTGCTGAATGTCCTTTTGAAGGGAATATAGCCTTTGTAAGTTTATGAAATTATTTGTACCCTCACCAGAACTGGATATTATCCATGCAGGCATTTTTAAAGATGTAAAATGTTATTGCATTTTATTTTGCTAGTAGCATGTCCTTGAAATGAGTGAAGAGTATTTTCCTCACATTGCTTTATTAATTTTATTTTCTCTTCTACAAATCATTCGATTGTGACAGCCAACTTTTGGGAGATAAGTTATCCAAAAACACTGTGAATCTGAAGACCCAGGACCATATCTCATTTACTTCGCATTCCCTGGACTCTGCACCTCCAGCAAACTGAATAGCATTTGCCCATTCTTTCCTTTGTTCCATAAATGTTTACCCAGCACTTGCTATGTGCCATCTGCTCTGCAGGGCATAAAGGAGTGAACAAAGCAAGGAAGTTCTCAAGGAAGGTGGACAACAGACAACCAAACCAACAAACAGGCCAAGTAAGCTCATGTTGTGAGGAAGGTCATGGAGGAAACGAACTGGTGGGCCTGTGGTCAGGTGGGGAGAGCAGCTCCTTTAGTTGAGACCACCAAGAACCCTCCTTGCCTTCTCCTGCTTCAATGCTCCCATGACTTCCTGTTGTCGGAATAAAATTCACATTCCCCGTGGCTCAGGCCTCCCTCTGCCTCTCTGACATCACCACTCCCTTATCTCCTGGAATTAAGCTCTTGGAGAAGTTGTATGGATGGGTTTTCCCCAGGAAGTAACTTGACCTCTCACCTACTCACTGACTGGTACAGGGGTGGGGTGGAGGAGTTGTTACACGCATGTGCGGATACTCCCTTTCTGCCCAAACTGTCCAATTCAGGTTTCCTCAGAGAGATCTGAGAAGTTCTAGAGATTATAACACTGCTAGTAGGGGGGCTAGTACCGGGTCCCCGGGCTTGTTGCTCTTTGGGGGAAAAACTGCCATCAACCGTAGGAAGTATGTGAGCACCTGTCTGGGGGTTGCAGTGGTTTTTGGCTTGTACCTGTCAGCTTCCCCAGTCCACTGTCTCCTAAAATGAGAGATGGCGGGGTGAGAGCAGTGGCCCCCGAAGTGGTTCCCCAGACCAGCAGCAGTTCCATGACGTGGGAACTTTTAGAAATGTACCTTTCTGGGGCACCTGGGTGGCTCAGTGGGTTAAAGCCTCTCCCTCGGCTCAGGTCATGATCCCAGGGTCCTGGGATAGAGCCCCGCATCAGGCTCTCTGCTCAGCGGGGAGCCTGCTTCCTCTTCTCTCTCTGCCTGCCTCTCTGCCTACTTGTGATCTTTCTCTGTGTCAAATAAATTAATAAAATCTTAAAAAAAAAAAAAAAAAGAAATGTACCTTTCTGGCCGAAGCCCAGACTTAGTGCATCAGCCGTCTGGGTTTTAACAAGACCCCAGGTAACTCGCGTGTGTGCTCAGGTGTGACAGCCAGGCTGCCTGTGGTCTGTGGTCACCATTAGAAAACACGGATTCACTTGGAGGGGGAAAGTAATTGCCTTTGCGAATGTGTTTCAGCCATTCTGATTACACCAGGAGAAATTCACGTTTACTGCCAGTATATCTAACACCTGCTCTGATACTTGCATATTTCCCTTTGCAAGGAAGATAGAGCAGCCCCAGGCACAGAGCCTTTGGCAGAGATCTCCCCCTAGACAACCCACTAGCACTTTATTTTTATTGTATTTATTTATTTATTTATTTATTTTTAAAGATTTATTTATTTCTTTATTTGACAGGCAGAGATCACAAGTAGGCAGAGAGGCAGGCAGAGAGAGAGAGAGAGGAAGGGAAGCAGGCTCCCCGCTGAGCAGAGAGCCAGACGTGGGGCTTGATCCCAGGACCCTGGGATAATGACCTGAGCCGAAGGCAGAGGCTTTAACCCACTGAGCCACCCAGGCGCCCCTTATTGTATTTATTTTATGGTGACTTTATATTTATGGTAAAAGAAACTAGTTTTTTATTTGAGGTGATGATGTAAAGTTTAATTTAAAAGTAAATTTATTTCGGCAGTGGGTGGCTCAGTCGGTTAAGCATCTGCCTTCGGCTCAGGTCATGATCCCAGGGTCCTCGGATGGAGCCCCACACTGGGTGCCCAGCTCAGCAGGGAGTCAGCTCCTCCCTCTCCCTCTGCCCCTCCCCCCGCTCATGCACACATGCGCTCTCTCTTTTTCAAATAAACTCTTATTCTTTTAATTTTTAAAAAAATTTTAAGAGACTTTATTTCTTTATTTGACAGAGAGAGAGACAGAAAGAAAGGGAACACAAGCAGAGGGAGTGGGAGAGGGAGAGGCAGGCTTCCCACTGAGCAGGGACCCCAGCGCAGGGCTGGATCCCAGGACCCTGGGATCATGACCCAAACAGAAGACAGACGCTTAACTGACTGAGCTTAACTGACTGAGCTACCCCCAATAAATAAACTCTTTAAAAAATATTAAAAAAAAAAAAAAAGTAAATTCATTTAGGTCATATGGTGCCTGGGTGGCTCAGTCAGTTGAGTGTCTGAGTTCAGGTCAGGTCATGATCCTGGGGTCCTGGGACTGAACCCCATGATCAAACCCTGTGTCAGGCCTCTGCTCAGCAGGGAGCCTGCTTGTCCCTCTCCCTCTGCATACCAACCCCCCCCAAATAAATAAAATCTTAAAAATAAAAAATTATAAATTAATTTAGGTCTTAAATAAGCCAATTTCAAGAACAATATTCTAGAAGAAAGAGTAAAGACAGCATGTAGTTTGTCAAGAATCTTGAAGGTGGTACAAAATTGTCTGACAGTCAGAAGTCACCATGCTAGGACACATCCTTCGGTGACTTGAAGAAAAGGTCTTTCAGACTTACTGGCGGTGTGGAAGCAAACAAGTAAGTTACCTAAAAAAGAAATACAAACTACCAGCACCATAAAAAATGAAACGTTATACTAGAAAAAGAGAAAGCTAACCCAAACCTCAGTGGAGCTGACCTCTGTTGCTTTCTAATAGAATTTAATCAGGTAAGTGCATATTCTTGGGAATTTGGCTCCTACACCCCCAGCTGACTGTCAGTCATGGGGGAGGTCAATGACATTTAACTTGACATTCAAGGCTTGAACTCAACTGGCAACTATCCTAATAATCTTTAATGAGACATTCTTTTTGATTGTTGGTCAAGTTACCTATGAAATGTCTCTTCTGGGGCACCTGGGTGCCCCAGTCAGTTAAGCGTCTACCTTCGGCTCAGGTCATGATCCCGAGTTTCTGGGATTGAACCCCATGTTGGGCTCAGCACTCGATGGGAAGTCTGTTTCTCTGTCTCCATCTGCCCCTTCCCCCCCACTTGTGTGCGCTCGCTCTCTCTCTAATAAATAAATAAAATCTTTTAAAAAAATGTCTTTTCTAAGAAGGAATTTTTGATTTGGCTTTCTAAGGAATGGTTTTCTCTATGACAAATTTGAAATAAAACCTCACCATGTACCCACAAGCAATAACCTGAGAGGTTGCTCAGCGCTAGGAACCAATTAAATACTAGGACTGCAGGCCTCTTTTAGGGCAAAGATTTAAAGAATGATAAAAATTGCTGTTGGCAATGGTGCGTGACAAACAGACCTTATGCACAGATTTTGGGGGAAGGGAAAGTTGGCAATACATATTACAGACCTTTAAAAATGGACATATGCCAACTTCTGGAAAGATAGCAGAGTAGGAGGATCCTGAGCTCATCTCGTCCCAGAGACATGCCGAGGTCACAGCCAGATCGGTGCAACTAACTCTGAAACCAACCCAAAGACTGGCAGAACAGACTTTCCACAGGGAAATGTAGAGAGGCCACATCAAGAAGGGTAGGAGGGGCAGAGACAGGTTGGGAACCAAACCCCCAGCAGGACTAACCCCAAGCAGGAGGGCTACCATTTGCATGGAGAGAGAAGCAAGAGGATCAGATGCCATCCCAGGCCTGGGAGACCTGCCCTGGGAAGACCGCTACCCATAACATTTGACTTTAAAACCAGGGGGGCTTAAATCTCCAAGTTTTATAATAATCAGGGCTTAACTCTGGGTCCTTTAAAAATCAGTGGGCATGGGACACGTGGGTGGCTCAGCTGGTTGAGAGTCTGCCTTTGGCTCAGGTCATAATCCCAGGGTCCTCAGACTGAGTCCTACAGCAGGCTCCCTGCTCAGCGGGGAGTCATTCTGCTTCTACCTCTCCCTCTGCCTGCTGCTCCCCCTGCTTGTGCTCTCTTGTACCCCCTCTCTCTGGCAAATAAATAAATAAAATCTTAAAAAAAAAATCAGCAGCCTTAGCTCTGGGAGAGCTGAAGGTGAGAGGAAACAGAGTCCCTGCCCTTTAAGAAGCACCAGAAAACCCCATTCAGATACAGCAAAGAAGTAGCAGTTGGAACAGAGCCCTAGGTATATGTGAAGGAGATTTACTTACTAGTCTCAGAATGGTTGCTGGAGGGGCAGGCTTCTTCAGGAGACTTCTCCAAAAGCTAACGGGCTGAACGCACCTTTCTCCTCTCCACCCCCATCGAGGACAGCATGACACTCACAGAACCAGCAGGAATACGCCCCACCTAGCTGGCTAGCCCGGGCGCCCCACCCCCAAGGTCTCCGGTAGAGCTACCCCACCCAACTTGCAACACTCAGCTGGAGTCATTCCAAAGCGGCTCATGCCCTGGAGTGGAGAAGGTGACCACACACACACCAGAGTGCCTGCAGTCCCGCAGCCAAACTCACGTTAGGCCACCAAACGAGTCTCAGTAAATTCAAAAAGACTGAGATCACATCATATATCATTCTGGACCACAGCAGTAGGAAACTAGAAATCAATCACAAGGAAAAATGTGGAAAGACCACAAATACAGGGAGGGTAAATAACACGCTACTAAACACTGAATGGGTCAACCAAGGAATCAAAGAGGAAATCAAAAATTAAAAACAGAATTACCAGGGGCACCTGGGTGGCTCAGTAGGTTAAGCCTCTGCCTTTGGCTCAGGTCATGGTCTCGGGGTCCTGGGATGGAGCCTCTGCTCAGCGGGGAGCCTGCTTCCCCTTCTCTCTCTGCCTGCCTCTTTGCCTACTTGTGATCTCTCTCTCCATCAAATAAATAAATAAAATCTTTAAAAAAATAGAATTACCATATGATTCAGTAAGAAAAATGAAAACACTAATTTGGAAAGATACATGCTTCCTTGCTCATTGCAGCATTATTTACAATAGCCAAGATAGGGAAGCAATGCAAGTGTCCATCCACAGATGAATGGATAAAGAAGATACATTATAGATATGATCTACATGCAATGGAATATTATTTGGCCATAAAAAGGATGAGATCTTGCCATTTTCAACAACATGGATGGATCTAGAGGGTATTGTGCTAATAAGTCAGTCAGAGACAAATACCATATGATTTCACTCATATGTGGAATTGAAGAAACAAATGAACAAGCAAAGAAAAAAAAAAAGAGAGAGAAACCAGGAAACAGACTCTTAACTACAGCAAAAAACTGATGGTTACCAGAGGGGAGTTGGGTGGGGGGAGGGATGAAAGAGGTGATGGGTATTAAAGAGGACATTTACCTTGATGAGCACTGATGTAAAGGATTGTTGAATCTATATTGTACACCTGAAACTAATAAAACACTGTACAGTTATACTTCAATAAAAAAAAGAAAGAAAAGAATATGGAAATACCCCTTGATCAGCAATTCCATTCTAGGAATTTGTCCTAAGGAAATAGCTAGACATGTGCTCAAAGACATTGGTACAATGATGTATGACTACTATTTTTCAAAGAAAAAAACGTAAAATGGGGCACCTGGGTGGCTCAGTCTGTTAAGTGTCTACCTTCCGCTCAGGTCTTGACCTCAGTGTCCTGGGATTGAGCCCCATGGCAGGCTCCCTGCTCAGTGGGGAGTCTGCTTCTCCCTTTCCTTCCCCCTCCCACCCCCCCTACCCCAGTCTCCCCACCCCCAGCTCATGCTCTCCTGTCCCTCTCTCAAATAAATGAAATCTTTAAAAAAGAAAAAGAAAAAATGCAAAACTATATAAATGTCCAGAGGCTGAGCTTGGTCAAAACAAGTTTGGTGAATTCTTGAGAAAAATACCATGTAGTCATCATCCCAAAAGAAAATTTCAACAATACTGTATTTTTACTGTGTGAATAAACTACAACATAATATATACCAGGAGGTACTGGGGGTGGGTTCCACCTGCCAGTGCTGAGTTTACATTATTTGCTTCATTCACCAAATACTTTAGAGTATCTATACATGCCAGAAATGGTGCCAGGCTCTAAGGTTATAGTGACAAACCGAAATGAGCATTTCTGAGGTAACTCCTGCAAAGCGCTTAAGGATGCATTCCCAATGTGGTGGGAGCGTGTATAATGGGAAAAGCTCTCCTCGAAACACTGCGAAGGGCAGAGTAAGGGTAACACTCGGCAGAGGTCAGCACACACTGGGCACGTGATAGCCCTCCCGGGGCTGACTTTCTTCAGCGGTGTGAAAATAAAAGAGAACTCATTTAAAATCGAGCTAGGAAGCCCTGACCGGGTTGTGTCACGCACGTACCACTCCTGGCAGCCCGTATAACCAGCAGGAAGAAGGAAGATCATTCTTGACAAGAGAAGGACAGTTTTCACAGGGCAATTTCACTGGCTGCTTGCAAGACAAAGAAGGAAGATCCCTGCCCCAGCTACAGCACATTACCTGCAGCCAATGAGAAACCACCCGCACCTCCAACTCTTGTTCTTCTCCAGTGAACTTGTGTTCAAAACAATCATCCCTGATGTCTCCCGACAAGCTAACAGAAGTTGACCTTCCCTTTTCTTTGTCTCTGGACTTGCTTGTGGTCTGCCATACTTTCTAATTCTTCTGTTATTCCTACATATGCTTATTTTGCTGGTTAAATAACCGGCTATTTTATTTGTAAGGTTGACAAGGACAGAAATCCCCATTTCTGCTCCACTCAGGGAAGCAGCTGCCTCCCAGGGCAGAACCAGAAACGACTCTTTCTTCTGACCTCCTGCCTGGGTGTGGGGTCTGCCTCTCCAGGGACCCTCGTCCTTCCTGTTTGGAGACTTCTTTCCCAGTGGCCCTGGTTCCTCTTCCCAGAAGGCTGCTAGTGTCTTCGTAAATCATAGGGATGGAGGGCAGGAGGTGGGCAGCGGTCTCTGCAGAAGTTCTCTCCAGAAGGGATCTCGTCCTGCTGAGGCAAGCTCCCTAGTAATCATCTGCCTGCATTTGTAGTCCTTCAAAAGATACTCCACATTTCCCGATAATGCCTTCTTGGAGGGTCAAGTAAATGTGTGGGTTAGTGAACTGAAAAACTACCAGTAGGGCACAATGTCTGGGAACCTTTTGGGCTCTGAGGAAAACTTCAAGTTTGAGCAGCAACACCCTGGTAGCCTCTGAGAACTGGGCTCCCAGGGTGGTGACTCCATGAGGACCCAGCGTGGAGTGGGGAGGAAGGTGGTTTCCCCCAGCGCCTCATTTCATAGCCATCCTACAGACTATAAAGTGATATCCAGCTCATTTTTAATTCTCTCATAATAATAAAAAACAAACAATTGCAAGTGTTGGTGAAGATGTACAGCCAGAATGCTCACATACTGCTGGTAGGAATGCAGAACTGGGGCAGCCACTTTGGGAAACATTTTGATGGTTCTTCAGAGTTGGACACAGAGTCACCATGTGACCCAGCCAATCTTCTTCTCGGTCTATTCCTAAGAGAAATGACAATATGTCCTCACAAAAACTTACACATGAACATTCATTATTCATAACAGCCAGAAGATAGGAGGAGCCCAGTATCCATCAGCTGATGAATAAATAAAATAGGTACATCCATATAATGGAATATTGTTCTATCATAAAAAAGAGGTTCTGATGCATGCTACCATGTGGGTGAAGCTTGAAAGTATTGTGCTGAGTAAAACAAGCCAGTCCCTAAAGATCACGTATCAGATGGTTCCATTTATATAAAATGTCCAGAATGGGCAAAGCTATGGAGACAGAAAGTGGGTTAGTTATGGCCTAGGGATATGGGGGAGGAGGGAGGATTGGGGGATGATGGTGGAGAAAGTACAAGATTCTTTGTGGGATGAAGGAAATGTTCTAAAATTGGTTGTGGTGATGCACTGAATTAAATGAGTAAATTGGTATATAAATTATATCTCAATAAAGCTGCTACAAAAAAGGAGGAAAGAAAGCAAAGAAGAAGAAGGAGGAGGAGGATGAAGAGGAGGAGGAGGAGAAGAAGATTTTATTTATTTATTTTTTAAGATTTTATTATTTATTTGTGAGAGAGAGAGAGAGTGAGAGAGAGCTCACACACAAGCAGGCAGAGTGGCAGGCAGAGAGAGATGCAGGCTCCCCACTGAGCAAGGAGCCCGATGTGGGACTTGATCCCAGAATCCTGGGATCATGACCTGAGCCGAATACAACAGCTTAACCAACTGAGCCACCCAGGTATCCCAAGAGAAAGATTTTAGAAAGTGAGCCCGCGGCACCTGGGTAGCTCAGTTGGATAAGTGTCTGTCTTCTGCTTAGGTCATGACCTCAGGGTCCTGAGATTGAGCCCCACATCGGGATCTACACTCAGTGGGGAGTCTGTTTCTCTGTCTCTCTCTACCTCTGCTCACTCTCTCTCTCTCTCAAATAAATAAATAAGGTTAAAAATTTTTTTTTTAATTTAAGAAACACACAAACAAATAAATAAATTGAGCAGCGGTGCATTAGGTAGAAACCACACCAGTGCAATTTTAGAGAGGGCTGTCCGAAAGGACATTTTCTTAAAAATTTTTTTAAGATTTTATTTATTTATTTGACAGACAGAGATTACAAGTAGGCAGAGAGGCAGGCAGAGAGAAAGAGAGAGGAAGCAGGCTCCCCGCTGAGCAGAGAGCCCAATGCGGGGCTCGATCCCAGGACCCTGAGATCATGACCTGAGCCAAAGGCAGAGGCTTTAACCCACTGAGCCACCCAGGTGCCCCCGAAAGGAAATTTTTATTTGCCTACAGACAACCTTTGGTAAGGACCACAATTCTGTATAGTTCAGAAAAGCTATAGAAATACAGTTATTAATATTAATAACTTACTTTGAAAAAGCACTTACTACATACCTCCATATACACTTTAAACTTATTAACTCAAAACCATGAAGTATATTTACATCCATAATAGCACAGGTAGGACTGTTACTTAGATCAGGCTTAGCAAACACTTCCTATGAAGAGCTAGATACTAAGTATTTTAGGCTTTGTGGGCCACGAGGCAAAATTGAGACTATTATGTAGACATTTACAGAGGAAAGAAACACATTTCCAAAATAAATGTTATTGATGAAATTTAAAATATAATAATAAATGAGCACGATTTTTTATAATACCGGTTTACTAACAGAAGAGTGGAATTCCTTGGCGGGGATAGTATTTTGTTAATTGAAGTTCGAAATCAGGTTGCCCATCATCAAAATTGATCACAGTTGTTCAACTGTTAATGCTGATTTATAATGAAATTTTATG